CGAGGGCCAGCCCTGTGACACACACACACACACACACACACACACACACAATATGGGGTATTTAAGATTAAATAAATAAATGACTTTGACTTTGACTCATGCAGAGGATGCCTGTATGTTGGCGAGCTGTTAAAAGCCCCTACTCTTTTTTTAAAAATAGGCGTAATGTCAGGGGCCTCGTCTAGTATTCACATTGACAATGCTTCCACCTGGTAAAATTAAAGGCTGCACAAAACTCAGGCTACAATACAACCATTCTGTTCTGCTCTAACATTTCAATTTATAGATTCTACATCAAAACAATTAGCTTTTATTTTTTCCAATGATAACTTCACCTTAAGTGGAGGAATGCATACCTTTTTTCAAGTTTAATGACACCCTCAGCCACCCAATATCTTCTCGATTAATAGATTATAAACTATACCATGCTTAAATAGACTCCTAAGTTATTATTTCATATATATGTAAGAAAATTATATAAGGTAATCTATTTTTTTTAAACCGATGTTTTATGGACAAGAACATTTATTTCTGGTAATTAATATTTGATCAAATGGTAAATTAATATAACATTTAGAATAATTGAGAAGGGGGCATATCCACAGGGACTAGCTCACCTTTAACTTACAATAGCATTTCTCTGCTATGGACTGATGAGTATATGATTCTTGCATGTTAAATGACTAACACAAACCTTCACCCCCAAGCCCCCTGCAAGGAGGCACAAGGGCGAGATGAGAGGGGATTCTTCTCTTGACCTTTCTGATGAGAGGGGATTCTTCTCTTCACCTTTCTGCTCGGTGGGCTCAATCAGACAACCCTACAGGACGAGCGAGGGCGTCAGAGGCTTCTATAATACAAGGTTCCATTTTTCTTGGAGCAGTTGGATGTCTTTCTAACCTCTCCTATCACGGATAGCGCGAGGAATGCAGGCAGATGAGCCTCTGATTCACTGGAGGATTAACTACAGTGCTCATTGAATAGGTCACACAAAAGCAGAGCAATATGGGGGGGGGGTTGAAATATGGCTTGAGCTTTGATGAAGAAGAGTTTGAGTTAATCAGCACCTCAGTGCTAATCTACAGTATCAGGATGCCTTAACATGCAGACACTCAGAACGGTGTCATAAAGGGAGGAGGAAACGAGTCAAAAAGACTGACGGACATGTTCTTCCAGCTCTCGTACAAAGATGAACTTTGAATTGAATGACCAGATGTTTTTAATTAATGATTGCTTTTATATTTCCAATGACCAAACATGTCAAATAATGATCATAAATATATGTTGGCAGATCAGAATTTTTTTTAATTAAATACTTTCAGATTATATGGTATTAAATAAGGTATTTCTACTATTATCACAGATAATGTTAATATCCTTAATTGTCCATTAATCAGGCTTAACGACAATACTCTTTAATGTATTATCCAAAGTTCCATCTCTCCCCATGTCTCTCTGAGTTTCGTCTCCATTGCTTCAGAAGTTTCCATCACAGTAATTATAGCAAAAGCAGGTGTGTTCTATATCAAGTATTTATTTTAGGGAATGAAAAGCAATTTCTTCTGGAAATGTATTTGAAAGACGCTGTATAATCCTATTTAATGTTGGACACTGATTCCTATAGAGAACTATGCTGGGTTTTTCATTCACAAATCCAAATATTCTATGAAACCATTAGCATCCTCTTGAGTGAATGTTAACAGCTGTCAGAAAATAAATCTTGCTCATACATTTTCCTGTAAATTAAATGGTGTAATGACTTGTTTAATGTTTTATTTAAAGGTCACTGGAGTGGTGTTTACGCACTGGCTCTTTTTAAGTGAACTCAATGTATGTATCATTAGTTCAGACAAGCATCGAGTATTGACCTTGTGGCAGTTCATATTGAACCCACTTAAAGTGTAGGCGAAATCAGCTGAGGCTCTTCAACCCAGCCATGAAGTTATACAGTATGGATCAACATAATTAATCATAACATGGATCCACATGAATCTCCTTCCAGATTGAACTCTGACTGAAATTGCATTTGGTCAATGTTTCATTACACCTCAAAGACCTTGACCCTGTAACTGTTAGTAGGGCCTTTTTTAAATGACTGTTATGTTAAGCAGTTTGTCAAAAGTATGCTTCAGTGGTCACTAACTGACCTGATCAAAGCAGTTTCATTTATAAAACGACTTGAAGTTCTGTTGTTGGTACAGAGTCAGATGTGGAGTGAGCATGAGCTTCTGTCGACTTTTCATTTTAATAAATAAACAAAGCAACACAAGGTAACCCTAGAAATAATTGGTGCCTTGATGAATCAAATGTTTTGAGTTTGAGAGGCAAGTATCACCTCTTTAATGAAAATATAGTGTTGAAAGAACCATGGCTGTCTCTGTTGATCTGATTTGTGAATTTAGTAAAAGTGATGGTCAGAGTCTACTAATTAGACTGACATTCAGCTGCAAGTGTGTGTGAATGCCAAAGGTCAGGTAAAGAGCAAGATGCAAACTGCAGCCTTTCCACTAAACTTGCAACTTTAGCACCCCGAAGTGACGAAGAGGCTGTCTGTCTGATCAGCTCTAAATTAGCCGTGAGAATCAGCAGGTTCTATGTCCTCAGAGGACTGATGGTGATCACAGCAGCACGCTGCAACTGGCCAAATGTCATGTTGCTTATTGTCAAGGGCCAGGGCCGGCCCTTAGAGCGTGGGGGGTTTGAGGGACCTGTTTGGGAAATGACTATATGTGTTGCTACAGGGAAGCATTGGTTGTCATCTCTGACATTGTGTGGATCCACATCATTTACACCAACATCACAACCTTTGTGAAATGATATCAGTGTGTATGAAACTTTTATTCTATATTCTAAAAATGTTATTTGTTATATTTTGGCTTTTAGTGTATTTAAATGTAACTTTATTGATCTATTTATTTGTATTATTGTTTTTTAAAGCACTTTGAATTGCCTTGGTGTTAAAAATGTGCTGTATAAATAAACTTGCCTTGTCTTATTAAAGGTGACAATAAAGTGTGTTATGGCAGATTTTTGTGGCTTGATATGCATTGTAATAGTCTGATGAATCTATTTGAAAACATTTCAAATATACTGATAGTGAAGTCATATCAACAAAAACTGCAGCCTGCAATCCTTTAACAGAGGAAAGTAAAGTTAAATTTCAATGAATCATCTCCACTGAGAGTTTCAGCACTGATATATTTCTGCCTGTGTAATTAGGTAGCTGAGAAGACTGTTTTTCAGCCAACATTTGCATCTGCCCCGGGTTAAAGACAAATGGTGTGGTGCGTAAAATACGCACAGCCAGAGGCGCGGTCCAACGAAATCCTGACAATGACTAGTACATTTCGATTAATGCAGCTGGCTCAATGAAAAGTACGCAACATAAACACAGCCCGCCCCACACAGGAGAGCATAAAAGCAGGAAGCGTCTGAGCAATCCACACCAACAGGACACACTTGGACATTTGTGCCCTGGAGAACAGTTCGCCACTTCGCGCTGAGATGAGAGGGTTTACTCTGAATAATGTTTGCCAGTGTGGCTTATTTGCTTATCTCGTTTTATTTTCTTTCATGACTTTTACCGTCGCTGTCAGTTTCGACCTGACTGAGCTAAGGAATAAAGTTGCTAAAATCAAAGTGAATCCAAGAGGGAATCTTTGGGCTACAGGTAAGAACAACTATTGACCAATCAGTCATGTGTGTATAGAAATACATTAAATGTATGTATTTTAACACATTTTTCAGGTGCGATACGTTACATATTTTAACATGATCACATTATTTTTGCTCTAACAATGTTCATTTTGTCCCTAAAGGATTTCCACCTCGCCAAGTCTGACTTATTTTAATTCTTTATTTGATTTCATTAGTTTTTATTAATTCTATGTTAACGAGCGTCTTCTTTAATTTGACAGGACATTTCATGGGGAAGAAGAGCGTGATGGATCCCCCCCTGCCGCCCTCAGTGGAGAGGCAGGGGATTGATACTCTGGAAGTCTCTCTGCCCGCTGAGCAGAGCACCCTCACGGAGCTTTTCCACCAGTTCCTGCGGGTGGCGTTGCAAGAACAGGTGGATACACAAGAGAGAAGCACGAAAAATCCGGTGAGCACCACTAATTACCAGACGTTTTTTGACGCTCAAAATGAGTAACAATCGATATTAAAACTTGTTCTCGTGTTCTCTGTTTCAGGAGGACGTGTTGATGAAGATCATAGAAAGCTACATCCAAAGCAGGAAGTGATACAGAGGATGTCAGGCTCGCATGAACACGGATCCGAGGTCACCTGGCCTGGGTTAAAATAAATACATTAGACACAGTTTACTGTCTCTTGCTCATCATGATTGTAATTACCTGTAACTGTCATACTGTTCGTGTACCATTGGAAATGCACGTAAAGGTTTTTTTCCATTTATTTTGATGATGATATTTGACATTGTCTTGTCGTTTAAAATTATTTTTATGAAATAAAATTATTATTTGCACTGCTCTGAGTTTGATCTGCTGCAGATAAATTATGACCATACATCAGGTTTGATTCACTGAAATCCTATAAGCACATCATTACATCATTATACCACTGGGTTTCTGCTATTTGTTTATTGGAATATTGGTGATCAACAATGAACATTATAGAAAATATGTTATGGGACATATGGTCTAAAAGCCTCTTCAATGAGAGCTCATTAAGGGCTGAACAAAAACATTACAAATTATATTTAATGGGTTAAAAAATTCCAGAAAACTGTTAAAATGACTGTTAAAACTTTTAGATGGAGTTTTCCAGCTTCTTTTTTTCTGGTACATGTGACCTTCACATCCCTTATTTATAGGCCCAACAACAACAACTCATTGTTCAGCATGAGTAAGATTGGTTGTTAACACAAAATAACACTTACATAAATACAAATGTAGGCAGCTTATATCATTTTTTTAAATTCCTGAATACATGGAATCGATATCATCTTTTGTACCTCTCCTGTCCTTTGCATAAAGGGATGATCTGTTCTCTCGATCAATAGTGGTGAGGCGAGATGGAGCAGTCCTTGCCTTCGGCTGATCCATTGTTCATTCTGGTATAGGCTTTTTTAATATCTCTCCCACAATGCGATGTCTGATGCTTTACGTCAGCTTCAAGATGAGGAATATGTTCTGTGTTCAGAGTATAGTGAGTGGTGGGCGGACACACAAACAGAGAGTACTGAGTTGTATAGTCTTGATTTCTATAACTCAACATATTTGGCCCTATAAATTACTCAGTCGCCAGTTTATTATGTAGACTACAGTTTTATAATAACATTTTTAATAAAACAGTTCAACAACCAATCCATCCCTCATGGAGGTTAAACTGTTGCATTTCTGGACAAATCTTCAAGGCATTGATTTAACTTAGTCATCTAGGAAAATTGCATTGCTCTAGGAGTTTCTAAAATGTGTTCAACACTTTTGTTGATTACAACATTTGAATATCATTAACTGAGTTCAGCACAGTCACCCAAAATCACCATTTAGTTGATTTCAATGTTGGTATTTCTAAAGTTCACTCTCAATCCAAACATGTAATTTAAGGCTTTGTGCAGAGTTTCTCACTTTGGATCGAAGTCTGAGACAGTGGAGAAGAACACGTTTATTTCTTTATAAATAAACATCTTACGATACTCTTATTTCACTACTTAAAAACGTTGAATTGCAGCAACTTTTAGTCGCAGAATATTGTACACAAATAGTTTAATATGCTTGAAAATCGTGTTCCCAGAAAAAAAAAAGCACTTAAACTGGCTTTGATGAGGAGAGGAGCAACTCTCCAGCATGTTCTTTGGTGTTACTTTTGGTCAAAATGTTCTTTTTTGATAATGACGGATAATTATCTTTTCCTTGATCTTTGCAATGAAAATACTTTAAAAAAGCAAAAGGTAAGGAACACACTGACATAGATTATTATTTGTACTGCTGGCACATACACAAGATGTACGTATTTGAGTCCTGAAAGAAATGTCATCTTCAAATGCAATCATGTCTTTAATTAATTAACTTGAACTGTCAGGCAGCTGCATGATAATCTGTTTCATATAGTCTAGGTGTTGATACAATAATTAATAGTTTGCGGGTGTGTGTGTGTGAATTAGTGAATACAACTATCCTCTTATGACTTCAAATTGCAGATCCAAACATGTTTCAGAGTGTAAATGGTTGAGGATGATGATGACTTCTCACACTTTGACTGTGTCACATCTCCCTTGACGTATGCTTCTTCACTCCTGGAGGAATGAGCAATTCAATTCAGCAGCTCTGTGCTTTCTGTTTACCTCGAATGTTCCTTATTGCGCAAATAAATGCTTTGTTCTTTTAAGACGCTTAGATTGATCCTGTAATCCCTCTTTCTGTCGACCTACACAATATATGCATCTTCACAGGCATGGTGATGCTTGGCAAAGGTAAACATTGCATTTTAAATTCCATGAAAATGAAATGTTATTCCTGCATATTCTTTAGTTTTTTTCTTTTTGATAGGAATGAATCATTATCAGTTATTCCCTATAAATACATCTGTATCAGTAAGACATCGGTGGATAAAGATAAGAAGAGTAGAAGAAGGACTTTTTGAGGCAGTGAGTTGAGAATGTCAAGAGAAAGTTCTTATAAAAACATTTCACTAAACATTGACTTGTATCCATCAACAATATAAACAGCTGATCATTCAAGAGGACACTTTCATTCATTTTAAGGTAATATTTATCTTGTGGGAATTAGTATTATCAAATCCTGGTGCTCAATGAAAAGAACCCACAGCGACGATGACACTGGACAGCTTATTTCCTCATCTTGAATTGGCCATCTGGCATTTTGGCGATAGCTGCAATATCCTCCAAATAATGGTCTGTTATCATGAACTGCTCCCGTGTGACACATTTACTACAGAGCGCCCTGGACAGAGATCTGGAACCGCCCCCCCCCAAAAAAATAAAAATGAAATAAATCATATAGCATGATTTACAATGATTTGTTTTTATAAGGGGTTTCTTGGACATGTCTTGTCTTTCATTAATCAAAGCATTGCTTGTAAATGTGGTTCATATGTCATGTGAGGGCATTTTAATTTGAGAACAGCATAACATAACATCCCTCTGTTTATCATTCAAGTATATCCTGTCAATGCAAATTATATTCAAATAAGTGTCATGTTTTGACATGTAAAAGACAAGATAAATGTGTAAAAACAACCAAGCCCTGTTGTTATTTGTTTCTATGACTCAAAGTCGTCTAATCCTTTGAAACCATTTCTATCCTGTCTTTGTTTCCCTGCATATGTGCTTGTTTCTTTGTTTACTAATACTATGTTTTAATAATGACTTGATGTATAGCCAACAGGTGAACTTGATGCATAATTCACAGAGTGGATGTATGTTGTGTCAGCTTTGTAGCTTTAGCATTGACTTGAGGTGCTCGGGCTTAACAGCAAAAGCTGACAGTGACAAAGGTTGCAAGCTTTGACTTAATAAAAACCAAAGCTTTGGGCACCAGTTCAAATCATTATTTATTGAGTGCCCCAAAGGTGCTAATTTTCAATTGAGCAATTTATCACGACCTCATACGAGAGACACAGGTCCCATAGAGTTAACTATAGAAAGCAGGGTCAAATGTGTCCCTTACATTCTTTCATTTTTGTGTGGTTGCAATGCAATGCCATATTATTACTTTTTCTGTTTTTAATTAACGTGATGGTTATATGCTTTTACCAACTGACCACACTTACTTGATGCATCATCCTCTTACACATTGCATACCAGTGAAAACGAGCGATGCTACACTGCCACCCTCTGGTAAAGAACAATATGTCAGGCAGGAACATTTATCTGATGCTGCCTGTCTGTGTCTTTAATAGGCTTACCGTGTGTGTTGTGAGGGGGTGAAATTATGCTGTAAATAATCAAATTTCAAACAAACCATGAACCAGCCTCAGCAAAAGCTGCAACTCTTCCTAGACCAAGTTAACTGTGGAAAACAACAACACTAAACTCAGATATGACAGAGAACACTGAATAAGGGTGATAGCACCACACATAATCAAGCAATTAAAAAATAAAAATAATAATAATATTATGTGGTGAACCAGTAAAGCTAAAGTAAATATGAATGTGTCATATTAACTATTTGTTTAATGCATCATTTCTGTACAACTCTAAGGTCTTGATGGCCTTGTATGTGATTAACTATTTATACTACAAAAATCCCATTTGGGAACAATTTAGTATATGTTATTATATGTTGTAGCCTACAGCATAACTTAATGGTGGATGTGTAGAAAAGCATAAAGCACTGATATTCCTTGGACTTCTGTTGTACATAAACACACACTAAAATACAAATGACCTTTAAAAACACAAGCTGCACTATTCACAATGAATGTAATGTATACTGCTAAATTGTTGCAAAGCTCAATGTTCAAATGTCCTCCATCACACTTTGTTTTGAATGGTGATGTCATCAGACCATGTGACCTTTTTGTCTTTGCGACTATTTCATTGGTCGAGCAGGACATAATCTGTAAAGTGGGGCAGGACCACCGGAGCCATTTTATTAATATAACAGCAAAGGTGCAGGTGCATCACTAAAAATATTTTTTATAGTTACCGTTTTTTTTTAAAGCTCAAGTTACCATGGGGCAGTGTGGAATTACGTCATCCAAAACCGTCTTGGTTTTTCTTAATCTCATATTTTGGGTAAGAAAACGATGGATGTTTTAACAAAGTCCAGCATCCTCAGTGAGGCCATGGATGGAGAGCATTAGCGAGCTAGCAAACTGCGCCAGAGATGCTCTGCAGTGTGCAGTTTAGCGTCAGTCCAGCTGCTTTTTGAGCCATAATATCCACGGAAAAAGTGTCACTTTCGCGTTTTCTGTGAGGGGCTCTAATTGGAGAAAGGATATTGTGCAGCAGATAGCTACAGTGTGTCGGTAGCTGCCGCCCACAAATTGAAGCTGACGTGATGCAGCAGAGAGTTAATCTGCTGTCTGAGATATTGATTGCAACATGTAGTTTTATATCCAGAGTTGGAATAAGATATCCGTCAATGTTGAAAACGGGAAGGATAAATGGAGGTGTAAAACAAAACGTGTGATATATATCTGAAAAAGGAACACGTTAAGCTATCTCCCAGGATGAATACATAATCAACCAGCGGCCCAGGCCACATTGCACCAGTCTCTTTACATGTTTTGTATGTGTTTGCTGTTCTTCAGCTGAAGCTATATAAATAGTAGTTTATGCAAGAAATATTGCATAATATGTAATTTAAGGAGTTTCTTTTATCACCTGCCTTTTATACCTTACTATCATTGTCTTGAAATTAGCTTGAATGCAATGACCATAGTTAAATACAGCATTGCAAAAACAAAAGGCTTTACCATGTTTACAATGCAAGTTTTTGAATCTAAGCAAGAGATGCTGTTCAAAATCCAACACTTTACAACAATACTTTAACATTATTTGAGCTTTTGTCCAAAGCTGGGTACAAAGAAAGAATTCTTCCATGTGCGTACAACCTAAGAAATATACAATGCATCAACTTAAATACATAAACTCCTGCAAACATGCTGAACTGCTTCAATTGCTACACAATAGGAGATAGCTAAAGGGCCCAGGCGCAGTCTGAGCACATTCATTTTCAGTCTGCATGAGATCTGTTTCATTTGTATGTGTTTATGTATGCACCAAAAACACCAAGACAAATTCCTCGTATGTGTTAACCTACTCGGTAATAAACACATTTCTGATTCTGGTTTCTGATTCTGAAGATGTGTAGAGTTTCGGCTGTCCAAATTATAATGTGGAGCATAGTTGACAGGCTGGTTTGTATAGTTTATCCATGTCTTAGATGTAGGTTGTTACCAGTGTCTTGGATCTGGTTCAAGCAGCCAACAAAATACACTATGATACACTAGCTAATGCAGTGTTGTCTTATAATGAAAGAAAAACAAACAAACAAATTCTGAATAAAAATATATATAGTCAAACAATCAAATCCAACTGTCATGTGAGACCCATGGAACAAAGTAAGAAAAATGGGGGGACTCAGATAAAAAAGGAGAAGCTAGATTTTATTACTTATTCCTCTCACCGTGTCTCTGTTTCTCTCTGCAGGCTGCAGCCGGTATTTTGTGCTACATTGGAGCCTATGTGTTCATCACATATGACGACTATGACCACTTCTTTGAAGATGTGTACACTTTGATTCCTGCTATCATAATAATAGCCGTCGGGACTCTGCTCTTCATCATCGGCTTGATTGGCTGCTGCGCAACAATACGTGAAAGCTCCTGTGGTCTGGCAACTGTGAGTGTTCCCTGCTTTGAACTGCACCCCTTAAAATATACTGAGTGCAAGGGGAAAATACACAATCAACCTATCGAATGCAAAAAAAGTTACGATTTTAGATGTTTTTTTGGTATAATCGCCCTAAAAGCAATGTCAAATATTAATTTGACTTCTGACTCACCTTCCTAATGAAACTCCTAACTATGTGTCTTTATTGTCATTTCAGTTTGCTGCCATTCTCCTGCTGGTATTTGTAACAGAGTGTGTGGTGGTGGTGCTTGGCTACATATACAGGGCGAAGGTAAACACTGTCTCGTTGGAAAACAGAAGTATTTCATTCAATTTAAATAAAAGTATTTTTCTGTTTGCACTTCAGATGTTGTTAAAGCTCAGAATGTACCTCTATACTTTATATTGATATTGTATGTTGTGTGTCTGCTACTTGTCCCCAGTGAGAGATGAGATAAATATAGATGAAAACATTAAGCAAAACTCAATATTGTTACATCTTGTTGTTGTTAACAAACCGGATTTTCTAGGCTTAATTAATGTTTCGCCGCTCTCATGTTTACAAATCCCTTCGGTTAATAGTGTTGCCTTAGGGCCTACATTTTAAATTAGTTTTATATTAATGTGACAAACTGTGCCCTGGAGAAAACAAAGGGACATTGCAGTCCCTGAGCAGGGACAGTAACCACTGCTGTGCCTCTGCTTCAGGTTGAAAATCAGGTCAATCACTCCATCCAGAAGGTTTACAACGAGTACAACGGCACCAACACTGATGCTCCCAGCCGTGCTATTGACTATGTGCAGAGGCAGGTGAGAAGAAAAGCCTGTTGTGAAAAAAAAAAGTCAGATACAAATTCAAAGGATAACAGTCATTTTCACATATTGACTCATTTGAGCTGAATAATATTGTCATTTTATGCATTTTTAAGCGTGTGTGTTTTGATGTTTGCATGTTTCAGAACGTGAAATAAATGAGTGTTCCTAATCAACTCCTGACTGTTTTATCCCCCCTTTATTCTTTTCTATTCTCCTGTTAGCTTCACTGCTGCGGCATCCATAACTACTCTGACTGGAGGAACACACACTGGTTTAAAGAATCTAAGAACAACAGCGTCCCGGTCAGCTGCTGTCTGCCCAGCATCACTAACTGTACTGGCACTCTCACTCGACCAGCAGATCTCTACCAAGAGGTACGAATTAGGGTCTTAAGTTCAGGGCTTTATAGCTAAAACCACAAAACACACCTTAAAGATTCTCTCTAGTCAAAATGGGATTTCCTTATTTTTCCTGGAGTATACCTCCATGCTGCTCAACCTAGCGCCAGCAGCAGAGGTTGTGGTGAGGCCAGATTTAACATTTGTATATGCGAAAGAAACATTAGATTTATTTCCAGCACAATTGAATGAATATTGGGTATTTGTGTCTGTGGCTGAAACATAAAAGGTATTGACATTATTGCCTCATACTTTTTTGTTGTAAGAAATGTTGCTATGCACTTTATGCAGTCTTTTTAATATCATTTATTTTCTGCCACAGGGTTGTGAAGCCCTCGTTGTGAAGAAGTTAAAGGAGATCATGATGTATGTCATATGGGCTTCACTCACTTTCGCATCTATACAGGTAAGCAGGACAGGAGTCACCTGAAATCACTTATTTGAAGGTGAATACAAAGGTGAACATTGAAATACATAACCACCAAATATATATGAACTTGTACCATCGTCTGATAGCTGATGTTGCGTATGTTGCTCAAAAGGATTTTGTTGTAAATATAAGAACTGGATTCTGATAAAATCAGAGTTTTATCTTGTGGGGAAAATATGATGGTAATCCTAGAATAAGTAAAGACCAAAGCCAGTATGTGTACTTCACTGTTAACTCATTCTCAACAAACACCTACCTCCCTGCAAAAGAAAACACATACACATCTTATTCTATGATTGTATTTAAATTAAATTATGTATTGGCCGCATAATTAACTCTGAAGTTATCTCTATCAGCACAAACTGAGCTTACAGTAGCCCTGACCTAATTGAGTCAAAGGATATTGACTATGTTCAACAGCTCAGCATGGTCACTGCTGACCAGGAGACTAAAACAGCATGGCCGATCACTTAATATTACACTCAAACATACTCATTAAAGCACAACATGCATGCTGTATAGTTAGTTCTTTCTTTTACATTTCTGAATTAATTTCCTGTCATGTTGGAGGGCATAAGAGTTCAAACTAACATCTTTTCTCTTGTTTTCTTGTCGTCTGCCTGCAGATGCTGGGCATGCTCTGTGCCTGCGTGGTGCTGTGCAGGAGGAGTCATGACCCAGCGTACGAGCTGCTGGTCACCACCAACAGCTATGCATGAGCCAACCAACAACACACTCAATAAATCCACAGGAGCATCACCGGACATGTCCACAGTAGATTTCAGCTGTAGTAGTTTAAGCTCATACACACACTTCGCACAATTCATGATAAAGTATCCAACACTGATGATGTGGTTTGGGTGGGTGTGGCACTTCAAGGGGAATCCAGTTATTTATCGACACATGCTTTGTATGTTACTGTTACTTTAAATGTAATTTCTTCTCTCCTTAGTAATACTGAACCATCTACATAAGCCAACGTTTTATATGGCTAATTGACACAATTGATGTTGTTGCAGATTTAGTTTCATTTTTAGTTGTGGCTTGATAACATTTGGGCTTATCCCCATTGAAAATGATGTAAGTACATTTGAGCACATTTGTTTATTTCACTCAGTGTGGGATTGTATGGAATGATATCATTGCGTGCTGGAGCACTACATACATCTCATAATAGTCATTGGAAAATCTATGCTAAAAATATAATGTACACCTTTCCTAAGAACTTAGTTTGACCAGACTTTGTGAAGTTGGAAAATGTTTGTTTTTTACCTTGGCATCAGACAGTGTTTTATCTCAATCTTAAAATGTTGTTTGAAGAGCAGCTCCGCATTAGTATTCATGAATATTCAGTTTGTTAACAATGTACTTTCTGTTTTGATGTATTGAATATTTTCTGAATAAGACTTCAATCACGAGGCATTGCGAATACATGAATTGTGAATTAACCTTTTCTTATCCAGTGCTAATAGTAGGAGTATTTTCGGTGTTACCTGATGACTGTATGAATAGATTGTTACAGATAATTCCTTCTCTTTCGCTGGTAGACATAAACCTGCTACAAAGAATTATGACACATTTATTTTCTACATTTGTTTATTGTGCACCTTTTAAATGTTTTTGAGCGGTTAAGTTGACCCCTTGGCTTAATATCTAGCTAGTGTTGCAGAACAATCATCATACAAATTGTGTAAATACTGGAGGCTGGACGAGCCAGGGACAAATAAACTCATACATTTCAACTTGACTGTTTAATTGTCATCATTCCATACCCATGGTTTAACATTGAAGTGAATATATTGCCATTTAAACCATATCCACAGGTAATGATTTGATAATTCAACAGTCACTCACATATAGCCTATGTTTTGACAGAAGCTTTGAAGGTTACGTTACAGATGTGAAATAAGTTTTCAATAATTACAGCACAGTAACCCTCAAAGTACTTTCCATATCTTTAAAACACAAGGCAAAACACATTGAAAGAATACCACATTTAGACCCAGAGATAAAACCAAACAAGGTGCACAGCCCCATCTGCTGGCTGCAAAAAATAATGTTTTAGTGGTAGGCTACTGAGCAATTTAGACCGTAAACATATCTGGATAAAGCTTGACATATAACATTAATAAACACAAATTGGAAATCAACAATACGCATGCGCAAAAGAAAAGCGGGTGGCACATGTGGCATCATTTGAAGCCAGGTGGGTCTTGATTTGCTTTTGCCCTACTGAGATTTTGATTGGCTGTTTGCAAACTACTGTTGTTTTCATCGATATGTAGGCTTACTCCTTAGCAGAAGTTGTATTTCATGTAAAAAAGTTGAGGAACTGCGGTGAACCATGTGGAATGTCTTTTAAGGCACACACTGGAAGCCTTATATCCCGGTAATAATATTATTAAGAAAGATACGTTTTCCAGGAGGAATCCCTAATGTTAAGTGCAAGCTTGTCAGATAAGAGCTAGCAACATGGCCATGAGGCTTCCAGGCTTCTTTGCGGATGACCACTACCCAAATGGACAGAGCAGAGTGAGGAGAACAGGTATGTGCTCAGTCGGATTATCACCTGTGTTTATCTGTAAATGTAAATGTGATGTTGTGCATTCTGTCAAAGTGTTTCATCTTCATGTTTTGCACCCGTCCAAATTGTTGTTGTTGTTGGCCCACCACTTTTTTCTTCTATTAACGCCATAGACCACAATATGCACTTGACGTCATTTATTTGTAACTCACATGCATCAAATAGAAATATGAAATTAATTGATCTTTGTTTACATCATTTGAAAATGATCACAGCTCAGATTGTTGATCCAAGAATATAAAACAATGGTATTATTATTGCATGTAGAGTTTGGTTCGCATTTGCACAACAATTGTTTTTTTCCTATTGGCAACTAGTTGTTGTTAGTGCTTCAGACTCACGTTGAAAATATGACACAGAGCAATGTCTTTCGAAGCTAAAAAGGTTTCATACAAGATTTCAACACCTGATTTTATGACACGCACTGTGCACAGTATTAGAGAGCATACAGACCTGGATCAACAGCACATGAGGTATCATGGTTACAATGTTGTAATACTCTTATGCCTAATCTTAAATAAATAATAGTTACACTCATCAGTCAAGACATCTTCAGAGCTGAGCAAGGGATTGTGAAGACACATAACTTAAGTAGCCCTACTACCTACAACATGATGCTACAGCATAGGTGTTAAGTTAATGATCAGCAAGTGACAAGAACAGTATTTCGGTGTGTGTGTCTGTTGTTGTGTCTATTTTCACTTTTTGTTGACGTTGCAAAAGAGTTTTGCTGCGACACTGTGTGTTTGGTTGTAATTGGCCTGTGTGTGTTTGGCTGCATGCTCTTCTTTGTGTTTGTTTATTTGTTTGGGTTCAGCGTTTGCCCAGATAGTTTCCTGGCACCAGTCCAGTCTTCCCGTTCTTCTCTGCTGTCCACCAGCCATCTTCGCCTTGTTCCAACACTCGGATCAGTTCCCCTCTACTAACAGACAATTCGTCCTCTTCCTGATCGATGAATATAAACAAAGATGACAAAATAGTTAAAAAGGATGACACCATCAAGCATAGAGCTATGAATTCTCATACCTTAATACCTACATATTTTGAGCACATTGTCCAATCAAAGTAATGTTACTCTGCTAAGGACAGTTTTGGTTTCATGTCAAGCTACGGCTAAGCATTGTAAATAACATATATTGTGTTTATAGTAATCACCTTTGCTACATATTCATGATCCACAATGTAGCATGTGTCGTCATCAGCTGAGACTGTTGGCAACGATGCTGCACCCAGGAGGCCTGGCAGCTCTGCATATCCTCCGTCTGATTCCACAGCTGAAGCTGAGGCAAAGAAAGCAATAGCAAATGAAATGCATTACTTATTTAGGTATTAAAACTTGACATAAACAATACATTGCATTCTCTGCATCCATAGAGTGTATATCGCTTTGAAAGCACATGCAATAGGTTCATTACGACGAAGGAAAGTGAAATGTTTTCATGCCTTTCATACTTTTTCACATTTTATTTCATTTGTATTTATATTCCAATAGAAAATATCCACTATAAGAGCACAAGTTGGCTAAAATCTTCTTTACTCATGGTGCAAGATGGATATAACAAGTGAATTCAGTACTTACCCCCACCGAAAGGTGCCGGTGCTGAATGTGGGTTTTCAAGATTGTCGAACCTGATGTTCACAGAACTCCCGAGCAGAGGATCAGAGCCCCTGAGGGATTGAGGTGAGGGGAGAGATTAAGGATAAAGACACAAATGGGTTTATAGAAAGGGTTAAGGTTGAGAAAAGATGAAGACGGCATGTTCTTTCTGCCACAACCTGGAAGTATGCTTGCTTTATACCACCAGTAACAATGCTAGCTCAAATGGGGATATTGTCAGACCTCATCGTCATGTCTTCTTCTCCTCCTCCTGCGAAGTGAGCTTGGCCATTGCTGTCTCCTGACTTCTGTGTCTGGTAGTAGCTTTCAAACAATATGGGCTCTGTTCAAGGAAAAGAGAAGTTGCTAATGTTAGAATCTGGTCAAGTTAATTTGTAATGACTTTCTTCTTCTTCTTCTTCTTCTTCACTTCTCTCCCTGAGTTTGTCGGTTCCTCCGAAAGGGAAGAACCATCTAAAAGTGTTGTGGCCTCTTACCTGGAGGCCGCGTTCCGGTGCTTTTCCTCCCTATGAAGTAGTTGTTGTCTGTGGTGATGTCACACAACTCCAGTAGCTTCCTCACCTCCTCGTAAAACTGATTTTAAAACGACAACAAAAATAAAAGAGGAAGAAACTTGGCTTGTACAAAAGATGCTTTTGCTAAATCATTCACCGAACGGATGGCATTTTGTGCTGTTCTCTGTTTTTAAAGAAGTCAAACCCCTTCTGCAAGGCTTGTAGTAATATATACAGAAACATCGTCATTGTGAGGCCAATGTGTTTCAGCTTGTGGCTTTCATTAGGGTGTCAAAGAAAGGTTTGAACTGTTTCACTTCTTCATGCACCTTGGAAGTAGGTGAACGTTTAGCCAGAAACCCGCACTCTGACCTTGCTTCAAAGAGAGAGTTTACTGATTTACTGCTTATATTGGGCCTGTACTCATCTATATGCTAACGTGTTAACATTTAGCTGGTATAATCTTTTCACCATGTTCACCAGTTTATTTTAGCCTTGAGCAATACCACTTCATAGTTAAGATTCAGGTTTGGTGGGCAAGCTATTATAATGTGCACTAAGAACTAAATGGATAACTTGACACACATATATAATTTGCACACATGCCTTTACTAAAGCAAGCATTGAAGTGAGACTCTCACTCTAAGCTGATCCTTGAAGGTTAAGTCATGTCTGTGGTCATTTAAAACGTAATAAATTAAGAAAATAAAGAGCTTACCTCATCATCTTTGACACACTGCATGGAGAAGTGATTGCAGTGGTCCCAGAGAGCACACCTGAGCATGCTGATGCGATCTCCTTCCAGCTGCTGGAACACCTGAGAGACATAGACAGTACACACCACATACTGTATTTCCACTTTACCACATCCAGGTTCATCATATCAGTAACTTAGTCAGATTATTTTCTTACTCTTCGTTTCCCTCACCTTGAATGTTTTTATGCTGCACTACTGCACACTTGCAGTATCATCTAAATGTATTAGGAATCGATATGTGCCACCTGTTTGCAATGCAAAAGCCAGCAGTACTTAAGTCGGTATGATGAAGTGTGTTACTGCGTGGTTGTGGGTTTGTTCTATATTTAGCCCGATGCCAGAAAGTGTGTTTCCTGGTCTGTCAAAAGTCTAGTGTGTGGTTCGAAACTCTTGTTTTGTGTTATGACTATGCAAGACAGCAATGCATGCATGTCATGTTATTTGTATCCAAAGTTGCTTTGGATAAAAGCGCCTAACAAGTGAAATGCAATGTAAGAAAATAGTCCATACCTCACATGTGCTTTTGTGTGTTTCCTCCCAGTCCCGGCGAACACTCTCTAGCTGAACAATATTGGTTGAGTAAAGTTTCTCTGTGAGAGATTAGTTAACACGGAAACAAATATAAAATCAGTGGCAGAACAGAAACAAGTAATCAAATGCAGTTGTAAATAGATATTCTAGAGATGTGACTTGTTTCTGAGTCATGCTGTACCTGTTTCCTTGGCCGCCTGTCTGCATTGTTTGGCTCTCTGACGTCCCTGCAAAACATTTGTTAGAAAATAAGCAGCATGCATGACCATTGTGACAATATCAACCCAAAATGCGAGACTTCCTCACATTGAAACATCATCTTCATCATAACGGTTAAAAACGGTTTTTGGAATGGTCACCACACTTCCTTAATAAACATAAAGATGATCAGGAACGTTAGCGCTAGGTTGAATGTACTTTAAAGGAGATGGCGGATGTCACAGTAGCACATGTATTTTAGTTCCTCTTTGCTAGATGTTACTTTATCACATTGCATAACAGTCCCACAGCTAATGTTGACTTGTTACCAACAGGAAACATTACTCTTTAGTGCGATATTTAATTTAGTTTATGCACCTTTTCTGAGTTTTTGGATGCAACGGTTATCTTCTCAGCCCCGTGTTCTGCCTCGTCTGCCTCTCTGCATCTCACTTCGTAGGTCTTCTTAGACTGAGAGCGACAGAAACACATACCACAGAGTTGTCCAAAGGACAGGAAGTGCTGTTAATGCTGCTAGTAATAGCTACGTGTGTTAGGCCTTTTTAGGCTGTTTTCTTACCTCAATGGTCCTCTTGTATACAGCAACCTTTTTCTTCTGAACCTTCTCCATGATGCTTTGAAGCTACCAGGGGAAACAGAAGTGTCAAAATCAAACAATTTCAAGTTTTAATATCCACCGTTCTTAACATGCAGTAGAAATCTAAAACAATATAATATTATTTCTAACATGATCTTAATACTGGTTGCTTCCTGTAGGTGTTATCCGTATTTGCATTTACTGCTCAATGCATTGTTTGGCCATTACTTAGCTTTGCAAATATGCATGACCTTTTTGAAAGGGGTTTAACTGACCATAGAATACAATCTGCAGACGGGCAGAGTAGGCTATCAAACCTCACATTACGTTTATCTGGCCAATGAAAGCTCACTTCTTCATTTGTGTACAATACTGTAAGTAAGTTGTTAAGCAACAGAAAGTTCCCTGTACCTTCTTCCTCTGCTCTTTCTGCCGTTCTCTGAATGTCTCAATCTTTTTCACCTCCTCTTTTAATAAATCAGATAGTTGGATGTGAAAGGTACCGATGTTCTCGATTTCTGCAGCCAAAAACAGCAAAATGTATCCATTTATTTATACACAAAGAGTAACAATGGCAGCAGTATTTTGAACTTTGTGACTTGCTTTGTCGAAGACTGGACAAACTTACGTGTTTTTAATATTTCAAAGGATGCTTTCAAGGTGCTGGAAAAAAAGTAAATTCATGATTAGATATAATTTAAGTTACATAGTAGTTTATAGTTTGTTTAATTGTCACCTCATAGATTAATCCGTTCTAAAACAGGCGCCTGACATGATAGAGAGCAGGAAACTGCCGACTGATACTGACCAACTGTACACTGAGGGGGGTTGCTGCAGTAGGACACACACGCACGCACACACACGCACGCACGCACGCACGCACGCACGCACGCACACACGCGCACACACACGCACACACACACCCTGTTTCTTTGTTTGACACAAAAAGTGTGTTTCCTCTAAAAGAGTATGAGTCAAAGATGACTTGAGTTAACTTTTTTGTAGTGTCTGTTGCAGGTCAGTTTCAAGCAGCATTTTCTTGCTGTTACAAAAAACAATCTCAATCTCTTGCAAAACAACTGTTTGTGGCCCTTTTGCAACATTTCAAGTGTACAATCGGTGTGCACAGTACATCAACTATTCTTGTCATAGCCACCCGAATCTGAATTCAGCCCATTACCTGATCTCTGTGTTGCCTCCTGCTTTGCGAGCAATAGTCACCAGGTCCTTCCCATACTTCTCCTCTGCTAGTGCCCTGTGGAGTATCAACAGTCAGTCACATCATTACTTATGTTATTAACATTAGTTGTAAAACTGAACTGTTTTTAATTGTTCTGTCCCAAATTAAGAGAAGCAGTAACTGTATTTTGTCTTGTAGATGCTATCAACCTTTGGAGGCTGAATATCATCATTTAACAACAAGGAAAAGTTGTTTGTGTTATCTGATCCTCCGTTAGTTTTGGTTTTGATTTGAGGTTTTTTATCTGTATAAAACTAATATTATCACTTAAAGGTGGGGTAGGTAAGTTTGAGAAACCGGCTCGAGATACACTTTTTGTTATATTCCATGGAATGCTCTTAACATCCCGATAGCAATGAATATCTGAAGAATGGAAAAAATCCATAAAAAAATGTAATACCCCACCTTTAATATATCGTGCTAAATATTTTTGTTCCACATACAAAGGCCTGTACATTCTTTCTGCACCACGAATATACAAAGTTGTCTAACAAACCAACAAATTTTAATCTGTTGTAGTGCAACTTAGCAGTGGGATCTTAGTTATCTTGTAGTAATAAAAAGACAGCAGTGGTCTCAACTCTTCACAGGCAAGTGGTCAGGGTTAAGGCCTTTTGGTTTCAGCTGCTGAAATACAGACTGAATGCTACCTCATCTTTAAGAGCTCCTCCATGTCTTTGCACATTTCTCTTCCATCTCGTAACCTTTGGATCACAGTGTCATACCCGGCATGACAAGTGAAATCAGACCCCTGTATGGAGAAGACATTGTTAGGGAAATTCTGCAGTTAACAGCATTTCTCAACAACTGTTGCAACACATCCTTAAGTCAATCCTGGACTCACTATGTGGTAAAAATGCAGAACTAGCACAGGGCAAAAATAGTTTTATGTGACATGACAACATGCCTACTTTATGAAACAGACCCTTTGAGCAGAACTCAACAAAGACATTTTATGTATCAACTCTAAATATTTGGCTAATTAAGGACTACTGGTACAAGTTAAAATATAGTTTATGTACATGAATATAGAAGGAGTCTGCATGGCAATGTACCGTCAACATGTTATGTTTTGGAGGTACGTGCGTACCGTATAATTCAATTTTAGTATACTTGCTATGTGAATTTCAACCAAGATAACCTTGAGATAGAATATTGCATGACTAAAGATACAAATGATGTTTCACTTATACAAGGACAAGTTCAGTTAACCACAAGAGCACACAAATAGACTTACCCAGAACGCATCTTTATACAGCAAAGGGGGCATCGTCCTTGAGCTGAACACAGTAGATTTCCTCAGTGTGAACTTCTTCTAGACAATTTCTCTCTGAAGTTGATCTCTCACAATTAAAGTAATGCTGTTGAAGGTTGAGGGATACTCAAGCCGTGTTTAAGACTTTGAGTGTCCTGAGAGTCAGTGAGTCATTTTGAATGAGGAAGAGATTCTGCCCCATGATGTCACTGACCACAGTCGTCTCAGCCTGTGAGAGGCAGCTTCTCTTTCACTATCAGTTGCTGAAGACTCAATGTCTGCTTTCAAGTTTATGTTAGGGTCTGTTAAACATAGGCAGCATAAATCATCTGCCTAAGTACGTCAGTGGTTGAAATGTGTTGGCAGCATTCTATTAGTAGTTTGGCCATTGACACACTAACACTCATCCAGCATGGTGTCAGTCACAGTGAGTAATACTGGGCTGATGGCTGAAGGCTGAAAGAGAGAGATTAGCAGTGACACCTAAATTGTTCGTGTTGCATTAATATGATTTCATTTTGTATTATTCAAATTAGTATACAATTTGGTCAATACACATTAACATAATATGCATATTTTAGAGTTGAATGTATAAAGCATGTATTATATGAACATGTATATACAATCTGAATATTTAAGTGATATTTAGAATGTATTTAACCCATGCTAGTATTAGGAGTAGTGGGCAGCTACTATACAGCACTATGGGGGTCTGGTGGTAAGCTCAAGGGCATCTTGTCTCTTACCGAGAGGTACCATGTTACCAGGCCGTCTTCCTTACTTCCCCATTTGGGGACTCAAACACCTGATTCCCAAGCCAAGTCTCTACAAACTGAGCTATTGTCACCCTAAATGTTATAACATTACATTTAGCTGACACTTTTATCCAAAGTGACTAACAATAAGCACTTTCAACCATCAAGATAGAAACTCAGAACAGCAAGAATCCTTAAAGGTCCCCTATTATACTGGGGGGGGGGGCTACCTTGCTTGGTGATTGGCTAATGGTTACACAAGCCAAAAAATCGTTATGACATCATAAAGTAGCCAAAATCTGACCAGCTCATTTTCAGACAGGTTTTTATTTAAAGTGGACCTATCATGCTATATTTGAATAATATAGTGTGGGACCATACCTTATAAGGCATATTTATACTTTTTATTTTTCAAAATACCAAACAGGTCATGCATTTTAGCCATTCCTNTAATAATACAATACATTATATATATGATATGATAATTACATTTGAGTTTTATTCATTTCTTATTTTATAGTTGCTCATTATTATTATTTTTATTTTTATAATAAAAATAAAAATAATAATAATGAGCAACTATAAAATAAGAAATGAATAAAACTCAAATGTAATTATCATATCATATATATAATGTATTGTATTATTAAGTAATATCATACATTAACCCCATTATAGCAGATGCCACATTGAATGGATGAACACATTTATGCATCAATAAGTACAACAGAGTATTTCTAAATACAAGTTGTAACAATACTTATATGTATGTAATATTAACCCTTTGGAGTCGACCGTCACGCCGGCGTGATCAGATCACATGACCTGTTCAAGCCGGTGCCGCATAAAAACAACAGTCAGGACAACATTGCCGTGTGTTTCTGTCGAACNCGCCACTGAGTAATACACTAGATATACACAGCAGCCTGTGAGCAGTATGAACAGTGTGTATGAATATGCTAAGATATATAAAGTATGAAAACGGGAAGCAGTGCAAGTATAGTATAAAATATATAGATATTAATTTCATGATGATAAACATTGTGGAACAAACAAATTACCAGACCGTTCACCAGCCCCCCACCCCCATGTTGATGTGAACTCTTTGTTTAAAACAAATTGGCCATTGGAATGTGTGGAGGAATTCCCCCAAGGGGGATGGTCGCATTCCACAGCTCTCCCCCCCCAGCCAAGACACACATTGAGTCCAGAAAATGAATGTTATTAAGAGCTGTAGAATATAATAAGCCATTCTTCTCTTGCATACATATATTGTCTTCAGACATGCATATATTATGTTTAATTTTAAAAGTAAACATTGAATGAATCTGCATGAGAGCAAAATGTATAAATATGAGCATTAAAATATATGAATATGAGAACAAAATGCATGAATGTGTGAGTTACAATATGAACGTGTGCTGTCCGATAGTCCACCATTTCCACCGGAAATATCAAACATTTAATAAAAGTGAAAAACAATGAACAAGACTTAACCTATTAATAATAATTTATTATATTTATTCCATTTGGATGTAGGATTTTTGACTTTGTTTAGAGCAGTGATCTTCTCTGCAGCAGAGAGCCAAGCGCTGTCAGACCGGACCTAACCCTGAAAAATATTATCATGTGAAATTAATCATTATGTTATTATATACACATTATGTACAATAATATGTATATCTTCTTCTCTCTCCATTTCCTGCCGTCTCTCTTCGGTTCCCGCCGTCCCTCTTCGTCTCTTTTCGTCTCGCTTCGTATCACTCCATTTACCTGATTACCTCACCCCTTCCCTGGTAAATACATCCTGTTGAGCAGGATCTACAGTTTCCAGTATTTTCCGTTTCGTAAAATGATAAAATACGGCGAAGATATTAAAATATGTGCTTCCATTTCTCATACTTTTGAAATGTATTTACTTTATATCATCGTATCTCCGTGTTTACTGGGTCTTTTTGCATGAAACAAAGACTGGCATATCGTTTCAAGCCATTGGTTCGNTAGGCAGGTGCATTTGCTAGGGTTAACTTTGATTTAAACATTTGTAGAATACTAAGAGCATTATTGAGTAGTTGTAACTGTATTAAGGGTTAAACTCATTATGAGTTTAACCCTTAATACAGTTACAACTACTCAATAATGCTCTTAGTATTCTACAAATGTTTAAATCAAAGTTAACCCTAGCAAATGCACCTGCCTATTGCCTTAACAAGTTAGATGTCGCCTATCACAGCGCACTGAGATTTGTCATAAATTTGTAAAGCACTTACTCATCACTGTACCCTGTATACCAAGGCAGGTTTGCCATCACTTACTGTACGGAGGGTCAGTCATTGGTACACGTTTATTTATAAAGCCATGTTGGGTAAACTCCCATATTATATCTGCTCTCTGATAACACAGAGAGTTGCAAGCAGCTATTGTCTGAGATCGCATGATGTATTGTTAGATGTGCCAAGAGCGAGGACTGTCTTAGGTAAGACAGCTTTTATGTGCGCAGCTCCACTTGCTTGGAACAATCTTCAGCAAGAATTGAAACTGAGCAATCTCATTCCTCTGCATGTTTTTAAATCTAGGCTAAATGAAATGCTCGTTGATACTATGGGCAGTCACTTGTAAATGTCTATAACTATGTAAATGTATCCTGTAAATATAATGTATGATGTCCTTTATTGTTTTATGTCGGAACCTATATGCTGCAGGTCTCCCTTGAAAAAGAGATCTATGATCTCAAGGGACCAATCTGATTAAATAAAGGTTTGAAATGAAAATGAGTTGTCCCAAGTTTCTGCCTGACAGATACTGTAGCGGTTTTGAGATTTAAAACCACAATTTCAATCAGATCAACTACAGAGCATGTATACAGAGTACACACACTGAAACAGAGAAGTCTCCACTGTGCTATGCCCTAAGACAGGCATTGTAGTAAAAATGTAGCATGGGGGGGGGCTAACTTTACTCGCTCATTTGACAGCTATAAACGCCAATGTGAGAATTTACTAAGGGAATTAAGAAAATAGTTAACCGTTTTTAATTGTTAGACACTCTTATCATTCCAAACTATTGCCAAGCCTGGAAAACAGTTTTTCTAAATAATTTATTTTCCAGGAATTGCATCACTGTTGTAACCCCAGTATATGAATATTAACAGATATAGGCACAACAGGTGCCATAACAAAAAGAGACAGTTATAATAATCCATATTGGATGGTAACCAGATTTCATATTTAATAATATTCATATTCAGTTGTCATAAAATACTTCACATATTTTTTCCAAGACCATGAACAACAGGAAATAAAGACTTAATTTATCTGGATGAATGCTGTTTCACATTCTGAGGATTACAAATAAAGATTTCCAAACTAAACCTAGCCCCTCACAAAAATATTTTTAAAGCTTGCTGTCTTTTTTTCAAATGTAAACACTCTATCCACGTTTCTACAAAATGTTCAAACAAATGGTACAAAAAAGCCAGTTGGGTTTGACAAAAACTAACTGAATTCTGTTTTGAAAGGCATGACTGAGGTTTCCTGGACGTAGTTTATCCTTCCTGGGTCCTGAAGTGTGGGGACCTCACTCCCGATGGACCAGCACGAAGAGACCCAGCAAGAAGAGGACAGCATACTGCGGGAGGAGAACAAGACATTTAACAAACCAGACCATCATGCTGAACATCACTAAGCTTAAAAACAATATCTTGTAAACTGACTCTAGTGCTATAGGGTCAACCAACTTACTTTGAATTTGGGGTAATCATTCATGAGAATGGTGACAATTCCGATGTATGGCACAAACCTGGAGAAGATACAAATGTTAACCATAAGGAAATGTTATAGATGCATCATATTGCATATTAAAACAACAGTATTTACAAAGTGCTTTACATAAAAGATGTTTTACTGGTATAACTACAGCAGTAAACAAAGATCCAATTAAGAACAGATCAGGACTTTACAAAACCTTAAAGTGCACAGTCCACTGAAGCCTTAAAAACATTTATTTAAAACAAAAAAAAGCTTAAACTTTTGTTTATTTTGTTTGTTTTTATTATGCCTCCTGTAGCACCTTGGGATTGCTGTGAGCAATGACAGGTGCTTTTATAAATCGAATTTATTATTATTATTATTATAGGGAGTGATTCACATTACAACCAGTGTATTAAAGTGTGTTTCATAAAGGGCTTTAGAAGGCGAACCTAGTTGTGCCAGCCTACTATCCTCAGGCAGTTAAGTTTGTAACTGATAACATTTTCTGCTGTGTATATAAATAAATATCAATAACTTATCATTTGGTAGCATATTGGATACAATTAGATATTGGGAAGCAGACATGATTGGGGCGCAAGCAGTCCAATTAGAAATGAAGGCAAAACATTTCAAGACAACTCAAATGATCAGAAGACGCCTTCTTGAGAAACGCCTTCAGGTATTATTTCATAAGCCTGATCGCCATTATTGGAGCTGACCGCTATCCTTAAGCTAAATTGTTGCTTATTTCACACAATCGAGTGGATTTAAAGCCACTGTTACAAACGTGGCACTAATAGAAAGTATTCCTTTAGTTAGAAAAAAAGAGTGATGTATAGATCTTACAGTGCTTTGGCAGGTTCATCCGTTTACGCTCACATGAGATATTTATGGCTTTCTGAAGCAAAAGGGTGACAAAGAGGTGCCAGCAATAAACATCTCTGTTGATGTATTTCTGAGAAACTCCCCTACAGGTGCAGCAGTGTCTTCTGGGGAAAGTAAGGCTGTGCTTTCATCCAGTTTTTCTAGTTTCACAACTCACGTACAAATATTTTGATGGAAACAAGTTGTGGTTCATTGATGTGATCAAGCTAAAGAGAGATGTATGGTTGATGCACTGATTGAGGCTTCAGTGTGTCTCTGGTCAAACACTGCAGCTAAAGCTAAGTTGGATCCTGAGAATGTCTCTGTCTCTCTGCCTCCGCGGTGTGGAAGCTGAAGCAGGAACGGTTAATCCCTGCTGCATATTAACTTCTGAAAATAACATGAAGACTCTTGAAACACTTGTTTTTTTTTACATTAGGGGGCCGACACAGATTCAGAACAAGATATTCTGAGTAGCAGATTAATCTGTGTAGCAGAGCAAGAGGTTTTTTTCTTATCAAGCTCCACTTTTGCTGAATCAGCTTCCGTTTGTGTTCGAGCGGCAGACACCTTATCCGTTTTTAAGAGCGCACTTAAGACCTTCCTTTTTGATAAAGCTTATAGTTAGGGCTGATTAGATTCAGCTGCTAGTTTTGCTGCTATAGGCTTAGACTGTCGGGGGACACCTTACTTCTTCCTTCTCTCTGTCTGTACCTGTGTACTCTCATGTTCCGAATAACCCAGCTTCCCCCAAATTTCTGTTTGGTGTCTATCTACGTCGGGATCCTGAGTCGTGGCTGAACCTGTCTCTGTGGTCCTGCCTGACTCTCATCATACTACTTCCCAGATGGCTCCCACAGGATAGTTGACATCCTCGTGGATTCATCTTCTTATTATAGACACATGCATTTCCAAACATTTGGTCTACCTATGTTGTAAATGTATCATCTTTTCGATTTACACACGGCATCTATTGCACGTCTGTCCGTCCTGGGAGAGGGATCCCTCCTCTGTTGCTCTCCCTGAGGCTTCTCACATGTTCCCCTTTAAACTGTGGGTTTTCTGTGGAAGTTTGTCCTTGTACGATGTGAGGGTCTAAGGACAGAGGGTGTCGTATTGTCATACTGATATTCTGTAGACACTGTGAAGTCCACTGAGACAAATGTGATATTTGTGATATTGGGCTATATAAATAAACATTGATTGATTGATTGATTGATTGATTGATTGATTGATTGATTGATTGATTGATTGATTGATTGATTGATGAGGTGAAACATTGTATAAGCTAAATATTTGATAATGAATTTCAGCCATTGAAATGAATAATATGGATTGAAGTCTTATTGCAAAGCTGAGCACACTAGCGCCGCTTTGTGGCATTGAAGAAAAAACAATAAAGACAATTAAATCTGGATTTGCAATTATTTCTCAAACAGTCGACTAATATTTCATGTGACAGCCCTATGCTTGAATGAACATCTGCTCATAGAACCATTTGAGTGTTTAATGCCCTTCCTATCTGTCGGAGCAAGGCACATAATTGACCTGCGTATCACTTAGTCTCCGATAGTAACTGTGTGTGGAGGTGCAATTCATATTTCCTGAGCACCTGCTTGTTATCAGTTTTGTTTGTAGGGAGGTGAGTAGGAAGCTCTTTTGTTCCGATTTACCGCAACATCTTGTAAGGTAACGGTGATTTGCTGTTGGAATGATAAACAACCAGAGCGTAGTTATGGAGTTGTGCTCTTTGTTTGGATGAAGACTGAGTGGTTAATTACCCGTCTATGATAGTCACGACAACACTATCCCTCGCATACATCTGGACAAGCGCTGATGAAGAGAATGAGTTGCCTAAATCCTACCTTGTTCAATATAAATTGACTGGAAAATATAACAGAAAATCATAATCCCTCAATCTTATATACAGGACCAATGTGAAATTGCTACTTTGCATATGACCTTCTTCCCAGTTTGTCTCCAAACTAAGACAAACGGGGCTCAGTTCCATTGGTTTCGCTTTTTATGCCAGAAAACCTTGGCAACACATAATAATAATAATAATAATAATAATAATAATAATAATAATAATAATGCATTACATTTTTTATTAGAACGCTTTTACAGCTGCTCAAAGCGCTTTACACATTACACATATCAGACATGTAAGAGTCATTACTGTGGACATTACCCACAGGAGCAAATGCGGGTAAAGTGTCTTGCCCAAGGACACAACGGCCTGACGCAGTGGCGGCCGAGGCGGGATTCGAACTGGAGTTCACCACTGCGCCAAAACCGCCCTGATAATGTATCGTGTAAATAACCACTATTGAATGTAATAAACATTTCTCTGCATTTGTTATAAAACATATTTCATCTGTGGACTCAGAGCCTGAAAGGTGACGTAATTAAGCTATCAAGATATCTGGATTAATCATGGATAATTTCATATCACTTACCCCCTGGCTCGTCCCACCACGTCTTTTTTCTCCAGCCAGTGTTGGCCCTGCTTGTACAGTCCTCTGTCATCCACTGCATTGTTGTCCCCTTTGGTCAAGAACTTAATGTCTCCAGTTTCCCTGAGGACAAAATTATTTTATACCACAATGTACATCAAGGCCTGTTTTTCAACACATCTGTCTCTGGGTGATTCATGATGAGTGGGAAATATC